TATTATTGCTTATACTCTCTCTTCAACAAAATTAGAGATAAGGGCAAAATAGTTTCTGCTGGGTATTGAGGGTGTGGGGGGGAGAGGGAGGGGGCGGAGTGGGTGGTAAAGGAGGGGGTGGGTGCAGGGGGGAGAAATGACCCAAGCCTTGTATGCACCTATGCGTAATAAAACAATAAAAAAAATCTATTTTAAGGATAAACTTACACAGAAAGTTATAACTATGGGGGTCTTAGTTCAAAATACAATGAAATTTATTTAGCAGTTCAAGTATATTGGTCCTATTTTTTAAGTTCATTTTTAAATACTTTCATTAGTTAAGAAAGTGAATATGGTTGATGTACTTTCTATATAAGAATGAATACAGAAATTTTAAACCTATCAAAAAATGTCTTTTTTAAAAAAAAACACAGGACAAGAAGGTAAAACAGGTCCTCTCTGGGGGCTGGCACCAGTGGGAGGGGGGAGGATATAGAGAAAGGGTGTAGGAGGGTGAACATGGTAGAAATATTATGTACTCAGGTATGACAATGGAAAAATGAGACCTGTTCAAACTGTTTCAGGAATAGGGATAGGTGGGATAAAGGAGAAGGATGGAGGAGGTGAATTCAACATTGTAAGGGTTTTGGTAAATGTCAGTGTCCCAATGTACCCTCAGTACAACAATAATTTTTTTAAAAAAGATAAATGAAAAAAATTTTTTAAATAAAATACTTTAAATTATACATGAATTAGTTCTAAGTTGATACCATCTTATAATTATTAATAACATTTGAAACAAGGTATATCAGGCCTTGGCACTGCCATAAAAGGAGTACTTCCAGAAGGTCCAAATGCATCATTTCTGCATATTTAAGGAAGACATAATGCTGAAAGGCTGTTATCTGACTTTTGTCACTCACAGTGACCTATTTTTGTACAAAATGTTTCCCTCCAGAAAATTACTTGTGAAAATGAAAATATGTACATTTCAAAAGGGAGAAAAAGTTATTGATTTACCCCTAATCCCTTTCTGTCATAGCTTAAATTTAATAATCTATAAAAAAATCTTTATAAAACTATAGGAAAAAATTAGACAAGAAATGATGACATAAAATAACATAAACTGAAATTTCACTATCAAAAAATTTTCCTATAATGCTTGATAATATAACTGGCTATTTTAGTTTAGAATTTTTCAAAAAGCAGCAACAACAGAAAACCTTTTGTGCACCATATATTTGGTCATTGTATATATTCTCGCTCATATGCCTTATATTTTTTTTTCACGGCAAAATGTCCTGTCTGAAAATTAATATCAATCACTGAGTATCAGGAAGTAATTAAAATTAGCCTTGCTAAAATACACATTTTAATGATGTGACTCAAATTGTTCTAAAGAAATAAGGCAACTGGATAGAAAAATATCAATTTAGTAATAGAATAAAATAGTACTTAATTGCTAAAACCTGTGTGTGTGGGGGGGTGTGTCTACAGGGAAAGGTATGAATTACCATATATGAAAATCAAAGTATAGCTCAAGCGTCTAGGTAAATGTCTTGATCCTAGACTAAGAAAACTTGTTTTACTGCAAGAAGAAAACACATACCTCTCTTCTTTATTTATTTGGTCACCAAATCCCACTGTATTCACAATGGTCAATTTCAACTGAACATTACTTTCCTGGAGTTCATATGTCTGGGCTTTAAGTCTAACAGTTGGGCAAAAATGTGAGGATTCATTTTCTTCAAAAGTAGTATTAAACAATGTGTTAATAAGTGTTGATTTTCCAATTCCAGTCTCCCCTGAAAGAAACAGAGGCACAGCTTCACAGGTGCATATGATGCCTGAGAAGAAATATAACCATAAATTCTTAAAGTGGTTTCAAAAATCAAAGTATTTCAAAGGCTAGGTTTTCCATGAAAGAAATACATGCTAGGTCTTGTCCTAAGTCATTAGCAGAGAAATCAATATACATTCTAAGTTACTTAGAACTCTAAAAAGAGCACTGAAATATTTACAAAATAAATCAAAGGTTTAAAGCTAAGAAGAACAGAACTAACAGAATTTAAACAACTGAGAAAATCCCTGAGATCATAATCTCTAACTGATAACATGAGCATCACATTGCTTATACAAAGGATGAAGTGAGCACAAGGAACATGAGGAAATTGGAGGAAGAGTTAGCAAACTCACCCACACAGAGAATATTAAAACAGAAGCCTTGCTGAATGGATCTATCAACCAGCTGATCAGGCAAACTCTCAAAACCAACATGCCCACACATAGTTAAGGAACGGATATTTTCTTTTTTCTGAAGGAAAACAAAAACAACAGCAACAATTAAAATAACTTTGACTGAAATAGAATATAGGCACACTTGAAAGGATAAATGTAATTTATCAAAGGGACTAAAGATTTTACCATATTTATTCCTCACCTAAGATACAAGTGATTACACACATTTATGAAAAAATTTGAAGAGTCCAGACCTCCAAAACACACATTTTTATTCCCTTTGTATAGCAAGAGTACAGCACAGATTATAACATTAAAATATATAATTTCCAAAACCAGGAAGATATCCAAGTTCATTTGCCAATGGATAATTTATAGGTCATTAAATATGTTTATGGATAAATTTTTAATAACTAGGAAAGTCCTACATTAAAATGTCAAATGGAAGGTGGAACAATGTATACACACATAAGTAAATGTAAAAATGATAAAAGGAGAAAATGAAAAAATTAAAATAATAATAGCCTTAAATTTTGAAAGAAAAATAAAATGTCAAATGAAAAGAGGTACAACACAAAATTACAGATACCATTCGAGCTCCCAGTCTAGCAGAGTAACTTATGTCAAACTTACCTCCCTGCTGATGACAATTATAAGCAACTCTTTCAAGTCACTGGAGTACAAAGGCATGTAGACAAGGGAGGGCAAGAAATTCTCAAGAGAATGTACTTATTACATAAGATTTACATTCAGCTAGCTCTTCATCTGAGAGTACTCCTGAGTCACTATGGCACAAAGAATATGGAGTTTAGGAAGGAAGTAACAGTCTTACTGGGTTAAGAAGTTATTTGGAGACTGGGGCAGGGAGATTGACTGGAAACTGAGGAAAAGAATTCCAGGAAGGAAGGAATTCAAATTCTATAAAACTCACTCCCTCAAACCCAGAGAGAGAGTACACAGATCCCAGCAGGGGGAGGATTTGAGCACTTTTTCAAGAGTGCCACCTTGGGGAGATGGGCAAAGCTTCAATTTTAAGTCTCTAAGTTAAAGGAGCTTGAGAAATGCCTCAGACTTTCTTTTGAAACCCTCCATTGGCCACATTGTCCTAATACTGAAGACACAAATGAACTAGACCTGCCCTAACAAAGCCTGTAACAAAGACTCAACATGATCAATATGATCAGACAGTGATTTACCTGCCTGTTAAACATTCTTCAGAAAGAGAAAATAAAACCCAACATCTTCAGAAAGAGAAAATAAAACCCAACATCTCCACAATATTTACTATACAATCATTAAGAAGGAAAAAAACAGTCAATGGAAAGATCCAAAAGGAACCAAATGTTGAATTACCAGACAAGAACTTTAAATAACTATGATAAATGTGCCAAAGATTCTATAGGAAAAAGACAGATATAATGGGAGATGTGTCACAGAGTCATAGAGAGACATGAAGCTCTAATAACAACAAAAACAAAAAAAATGGAATCCCTAAATATAAAAATATGAAATCTGGAAAAAAATTTATTGAACAGTATTATCAGCAGATCAATGAAAGAAAGATTTGCAAGTATCCAAACTAAATAGCTTTATTTATTTAAGCTAAAAATTTCTGGAAGAGAGAAAGGAGCTTCAAAAACCTACAGGACAATATACAGAGGTCTAAGAAACCTATAATTGGAACAGATGGAAATCAGAAGTAAAAAGAATGACATCTATTAAGTGGCCAAAAGGAAAAAAAAATGACAACTTAAAATTGAATACAGATTCAATGGGGAAATGTCCTTCAAAAATGAAGTAAAAATGAGAACATATCAGACAAACAAAATCTGATAAAAATTCATTGTCAGCTGACAAATGAGAAATGTTAAAAGAAATTCTTTGAGAGAAAGAATAATGACAATACATGGAGATTCAGAGCACTAGAAATATAAACATGTGGGTAAATAAAAGTTTATTTTCTTGTTTTAATTTCTTGAAAATAGAATTGTTTAAAGTAATAATAAAAACAGTATTGTAAGATACATGAACACGTAAAGCATAAAAGATGGGAGGTGTAATGGACTTAAACTACTACAAGGTTTTTAACATACATAAAGTACTATAATATGTGAAGAAGGAGTATGGTAAGATCAACTACTGTATAGGTAATAAACCAACAAAATAAAAAAAGAAACCATAAAAATACTTTATTAATCCAAAAGAAGGCAGGAAAAAATGTGAAAGAACAATCAGGACAACAGAAAATTATTTATCAGATAAATGTGAATTGAGACTGTAAAGATATCAGTGACCATCCAATAAAATGGTTAAAATTAAAAAGGCTGACAATGTTAAATGTTGAAGACAATGAAGAACAACTGGACTGCTGATGAATGTGCTAATGCAAACACAAAATGGTACAGAAACTTTGGAAAACTGTTAGGCAATTTCTTATAAAATTAAACATGGATTACTACACAGAAACAAACAAACAAAAAATCCCAGTTAGAGGTTCCCAAGATAAATTAAAATATACATCTACACAAGGATTTATGCACAAATGTTCATAACAGTTTTATTCTCAATAGTCAAAAACTAGAAACAACCCAAATGTCCAATAATAAATAGTGAATAAGAAAACTGCAGTACATCTGTACAACAGAATTTTAAACTACTGATACATGCCATGACATAGATGAATCTCGAAGTGTTCAAACTGTAATTTATTTATTGTGATTTGAGCAAAAATAAAGATGTATTTTTGTATATGCATACATTTTTACATGTATGGAATACAAAAGAAAATGTCTCAAAGAGTAGTATTATACTAGGAAAGTGATTAGCACTGGGGAGTAGACTTGGAAGCTGCATGAGAAGGAACTGCTTTTTACTATATACAGTGAGCAAAATTACGAGATAGCCCCTAAAACTGAAGGCCCCTGTTGCGCATACATCTTTTTTTATTACGATATAGTCATTATAAGGAGGGGATTCAAAATGACAATTCCCATTAGGATTTATATTGTACATTAGTTTCATTGCCCCCAACATCTGTCCCTCTACCCGCTTCTCTGTCCCACTAAAAACAACAGCAAGAGGTTGCTTTGTTCTATTTCATATAGGTAAATGATACCCATCAATCATATATCCTCACTTTAATCTCCTTCACTCACTCTCCCCACTCCCATTTGTACTTCCCCCCACCACACACACACATGCATACATCTTCTGCCACTTATTTAATACCAAACTGATCTAGGCACAGTTGAGATACTGCAGATGAGATTAAGGGGCCACCTCAGGTAATCTTAGAAAGGGAGATCATTCTTTGTGGGCCTGACCTAATGTGGTGAGCCCTTAATAATAGTTCCTGGGCATTTCCTCACCAAAAAGATCTGAAACAGAAGGGGTCTCAACCTGCCAGAAGTTCCCCTGGCTGGCTTTTTGGATGGAGAGAAGCACGTGGCCAGGAGCCCAAAATGGTCTCTAGTGCTGATGGCTGCCCCAGTTAGCAATGTCTGGACTCTTGCCAATAACCTGAAGAGCTTGTGAGGGAAGCCTCTGCCTGAAAGCCCAGGTAGCTGACACCTAAGTGTGAGAGCTGGAGCAGAGAAGTCAAGTGAATGGTCCTGGGCTTTCTCATTTGTAGAACTGGGACAGTTCTTCCTTTAGCTGCTTTCTTAAGCAGCTAAATTCATGATAATTTGCCATGTACCATTAGGAAGCTAACACATTCTTTTTTGGGCCCTTTGACTCTCTCTCAGTGATGTAAGCATGTTGTCATAAGCTTTTTAAAAAAGAAGGGCTGGAGGAGTGTAGTTCAGTGGTAGAGTAGTTAACCTACCATACACAAGGCCCTGCTAGCCCCCCACCAAATAATAATTTTAAAGAACAGTAAAAAAGCACTACACTTCCCATGAACATGTTCAAGATCAGAACAGTTGCTAGAATGTTCTAAGCAAATGCTTATTACACAAAGGTTGAACTAAATAGCCTCTAGGATCTCTTCTTATTTAAAACTACATGCTTTTAATGTCATGGGAACAAAAGAAGCATTTTAAAAATGAGAGTGTAGTCTCCATGATTTAATGCAGAGGAGCCACTAACCAACAGCCACTCCATGCATAGTCACTAAAGACTACTAGGGACTGACAGTAGTCTTAGTGAAGCAATGGATTCAGAGGCAGATGAAAAAAGTCTATGAGGTAATAAAAGGTGGAAAAGACTACTACCACCCATGACAGGGGCAAAGGATGGCAGCTGGGTGGTCAAATTCAGATTTATGAAAACTGTGGGGACCTTGGCATGTTTGAAGAAGGGAGAAAACAAGAAGGACTACAATTACTGGAATACAGACTAAAGGAAATGATTTAATCTTACTGAACTACAATGCTTGTAATTTTCTGTTTTAATTAAAGTTAACAACATAACTCTTTCACAAAGTTAAAAGTTATCTCCTTTTAAAACATGAATTACATAAACCATCCCTGATATAGCATACTCAGAAGAACCTTGGAAATCTCAGTCTAATCTTGTAGTAAAAAGGCATCTGGCAAGGCTGACCAAGGCTCTGTCATTCCCAGGAGTTCTCTACCTCCACCATACTCTGGAATGTGCCCAGAAAAATACAATGCTAGTGCCAGGTGCAGTGCTTCATGCCTGTAATTCCCACACTTGGAAGCTGAGGCAGGAGGATATTGAGGTTCAAAGCCAGCTTGGGCTATATAGCAAGACCTTGTTTCAAAAACAAAAAAAGAAAATTGAACTAATCTTTCTTTTTGTCTTCTGTCTTTTGTGTGTGTGTGTGTGTGTGTGTGTGTGTGTGTGTGCACGCACGCGCGCGTGTTATTGGCCTCATGCTTACTCAGCAGGCACCCTACCACTTAAGCCACTCTGCCAGCCGTTTTTGCATTGGCTATTTTTGAGATAGGGTCTCACTTTAAGCCCCAACCAGCCTGATGTGTGATCCTCTTATTCGTGCTTGTTCACATAGCTGGATGACAAGCATGTGTCACTTAACCACTGATTGAGATGGTGGTCTCTTGAACTCTTGCTCAGACTGGCCTTGAACTGCAAACCTCCAGATCTTACCTCCCGAGTAGTTAGGATTATAGGCTTGAGCCACTGCACCAGGCTACACTAGCTTTTCTAAGAAATGCTGTTGAAGCACTTGGGAGTTTTAATTTGCTTCATGCCAAAAACAAAGAACCCCAAAAACAAACAATATAAATAAATAAGTAAATAAATGTATTAAAAAATAGAAGAAAAATTGCTCAATGTCAAACAAGGTAAGGACATTATGGATATTCAACAATTATTCAATCTATCATTGATCCTTCACTTCAATCAACAAAAAAAGTTAAGTTAATTCACGTTCAAGGTAAGTACAAACAAGCCTCTACCACAAAAGTCTGAAAGTTCTCCAAATAGTTATTTCAAAATCATAGCAGCATTTAGAGGATAACAGGTTATCTTTACAAAAGACAAACTCACTGTCTGTGCATCACTGTTAGATACTTGTGAGGGCATGCAAGTTGTTTTTGATGTCATGTGAAACTGAAAGAATTGGAAAAGAAAAAAAGACTTTTAAAATAAACAGATGTGCTTTCATAAACCCTTGTCTAAATAATATAATTATATTAAAAACAGGTTCTACTATTGTTATCAC